TAAAATTATAGATTGGATATATTCAGATTTTATTATTTAAAATAAAACTAAAATTACTAAGAAATATGTTTGCTACTATTAAATTGCTCACAATTTAAGCAAGTGCTTCAGTAACTGTGATAAGTTAGAACAAGATAAACTAAGATTTCATATATCAAGAAGAATATCATACTTATGGATACTGTTTGTTTTTCTCACTTCCCTTGGAATCACAACACTTAAAACAAGACTATTGGATGATAAATCTGACATAAATTAACATCTGCAAAACTGAAAAGACTGCAGAACAGATTTAAGGTAGTAATAAAAAATAAATTAAGGAATAAAATAATACATATTAATAAAAGAATGCTTACAATTCAGATAATAGGTAACATCTGCCTAGCTGTCTCTTTCAAGTTACTAAACGTGAAAAAGCAGTCTGGAATGATGATAAAGACAAAACGTGAGGACAGCGACAAATGTTTAAGGTAAATATGATGAAATCGTCCATTAAAACTTGTTTTATAAGGGCAGTAAAAATGTTTTCTTCATTCTCTCAATTTATTTTTCATATCTTATTCTGTTTAACATAGTAAGTGGTCGTGCAAATTAAAAATCCCATATATATATATATATATATATATAATGTTGTATGATCTTTAATTCATTTAGTGCGAAATTAAGTTATTCTACTACTTGTGCAATTGCTGCAAAGTAAGTTAATAATAACTTATTTACTAAATAATATGATTATATTATCTCCTAAGATTAATTATAGTAGAACGATCTGAATAGAGTGAATCCATACTTAGTAATTAATATTTCGAAAGATGTTTATTTTAAAGTAAGGAAGCTACTAACCTACAATACAGTAAAGTTTTTGTAGAAAAACTTTTAAACTTAAAAATTAAAAAAATAAAAATAAAAGGTGGAGATAATATATATAGTAAGTACATTATACTAATGTTTTAATTTTTTTAATTTTAATTTTTTTAATTTTTATGTTTAAAAGTTTTTCTACAAAAACTTTACTGTATTGAAGGTTAGAAGCCTCCTTACTTTTAAATAAACATCTTTGGAAATAGAACTTACTAAGTATGGATTCACTCTATTCAGATCGTTCTACTATAACTAATCTTAGGAGATAATATAATCAATATTATTTAGTAAATAAATTATGTATATAATGGAAGTTAAAAGACAAGTCAAGTAACTATTAACATATTGCCTACTTTGGCAGTTTATCTTCCATGCGTAATGCAATTTTAATGAGAGCTCAAAATTCGTACATTTTATTAGAAAGCAAGGCAAATTTGAAACTCTTCTGCGCGAAACTGTATAGCACTTTCCGTTAGTAAAATTTTAATTATTATTGTCCACCTTTCCGTTGTTGGGATACCAAAGTAAATAGGGATATAGCCTGGAATTATGTTTTCTGGTCAAATGCTATCTGAAGTTAAAAGTTTAGCTATCTGGAGCTGCAGTTTTAGAATACTTGGCAAAATGTGTCCCAAGCAGCTTAATATTTTGTTTGCACGCCTCGGTGCCGTGTCTGATATCAGCATATAGCGTTCAAAAAGGAGTCTTTATGTCCTGCTAATTAAATATATTTACTACATAATTCTACATTATTGAGAGGTTTTGTAAATTCCGCATTGAAATGATTAATTTTTCTCTTCATAAAATCACCCGTGCTAAATTTTAAATAAAACAGACAATGCTCTCAAGGTTTTCGGAATTTTCCTTATCCCTGATTATATAATTGGCTTTCAATACGATGCATTCCCTTTGCAGTTTGCCTGTCTTTTGTGCAGATTACACAAAGGTACTTTTTTAACGGTATGATAAGAGACTCTGAATTAAATCGAGCCCACCTGAGGCGGAGCGCTAAAATCGCTGAACACTGGTTGTTCCATTCAGGTTTGAATACAGGCGAATGAACTGGCTGCATAGTTGTTTTCGTGCTTTTCCCTTTGTATATTGTAGATACGAGCCATTTTCATTAGAGCGTTATCCACGAAGATATCCTTAACCATAGACAGGTAGCCCTCGAGTTGATTTGCTTTTTGATGCTTTGGTTGCATATTTTGGTGTATAGCAGGCAATTACCTGCTCTTAGCAGATCAATCAGTGAATCCCACTTGGAACCTCACACTGAAAGGTTCTTCACAATATTATCACCATTAAGATGAGAGCAAATGGGTTGGTATGCGAGGCACTTTAATTCTGAGGTCACACTGCCAGGTGGCTATCAAACTATGTGTCAAATCCACAGTTTCCTTACGATCACAAAATGGCAGTAATGCTGTAATTTCACAGTTGAGTTCAGTAAATTATGTACAATATAATATATACAGTTAATGCACATGAGATATATCAAAATAATGCAAAATTCACGTACAATTTTGTTGATATTTCAAAGAATTCAAAATCCAACTTCTTCAAGACACTGTACAAGAAATCGAAATGACCTATCAATTTGATGAGGAAATTATACCCAGTTTAAATTTACCGAAATCAGTGTTCGTTAAGATATAATAGTTCATCAAAGTACAGTTAGAAATTTGGCCACTGAGTATGAAATGGAATCTGGCGATTGGCTGTTGACTCACGCGAAATCTTGCAACTGTGAGTTGATTTACCTTAATCAATTAATCCAATATTTATTATAAGAGCCCACTAGTGGCCGAGTAGTTGTGATATCTTCGTTCTGAAGTGTTGAGTCATTTTAATTCACAGTAGTTGTCTTTTGATTATTTATTGAAAACAATAACAACATGATTGAAACAAATATGAAATATCATACGCGGCTCAGTGACGGATCTATACATGTTCGCACATCCTCGTTACTGCGTGTTCTAACTATATTTCCCCCCCCCCGCCGCGGGAAAAGCAAACATCAGTTTATCCCTTTAGGGAATTTTAGTTGGAACATCCTCCGGCCCGCGACGAAGATATTTATCATAAATTCAAAATCTTACAATAAAATAGTACATCTTATACATTTACAAAACTTGTAATATACAACATAGCATGAATACTTTGTATATAAAGGACATTATCATCATACTAGCTACTACTATACATTTTATCTTACTAACTATCACAAGCTAAATGCAATTAGAAAAGAAAAACAATTATCATCAAACAATAACTAACACAAGTAACAAATTTCAGTTACTAAAGAAATACTAAATAGATACCTGAAAATTCTGAAAACAATCATTCATATCTTTTTCCAAGCTCCAAATGATATAGCATTTGGATAGGCCTTTTTATTAAGCCTGAAGAAGTTTTTACTGTGATACTTCTTACCTTGTTATCTCTGCCTGTGTGCAGTTCCATCACCTTTCCCAGCTTCCACATCTGCCGAGGTAGTTTGTCATCCCCTATCAAAACTACATCATTTATATTAAAATCAGTGGTTACATTAACAGGTTTGAAACAATTTGCACCCTTTAATTGGAGAAGATACTCTTTTTTCCATCGTCTCCAAAAATCATTTAAAATTTTTTCCCGATACAAATATCTTTTAATTCAAATTCTTTTGTTAATTGCAATATGTTCTTTAACATGACCAGCCTGGTGTGGTAAGGATATTAAGCGTTATCCAGTTAGGAAATGAGCAGGAGTGAGAAGGAATGGCTCTGATGGATCATTGTAAACGTAAGTAAGTGGTCTAGAATTTAGAATAGATTCTATTTCAGTCAAAATGGTTTGTAATTCTTCAAAGGAAACTGAAGCCTTTCCTAGTACAGTCAAAAGTCGTTAATTCGGACACCCATAATTCGGAATGATCTATAATCCGGACCTCAAAACTAAAAACTTTCTGCGCGTTGACACATGCGCATAGGCGTTTACGCGTGCGCGTAAGACCTTTTACGACTGCGCATATGAGTGTGCGCAAGTGCAGAATACATTTTCGCGTGCGCGTTTTATGTATAATGGACGTATAAGCTAAAATTATCTAATTATCTATTTCAGTTAATGTTGATGATTGCGTTGTTCCTTAATTTTCCAATTGGATCCGGCTTATTATTTTTTGTAGACTGTAAGAGCAATTTTATAAAGATAAGCTTAAACTTTCGATTATATCAAATAGAATTTCCGATATATATTTGTTAATATGTAAAGGATCTAAAACGAAAGTATGTTTTGAAATCCGAAATCTGTTTATCAATTTCACGCTGCTCGGCGGGGGGGAACGCCGCGGCGGGCGCGTAATGAATTGGAAGTTGATCTGTCAGCACTATCCTTATCTTCAGCGCAGATGTTTTTATTTTATTTGCTTATAATTGAAGATCAGATGTTTTTATTTTATTTGGCTTATAATTCCTTATCAAATGTAGTATTTCATCTCGATATGCTCCGTCTTTGATATGATTTAAAACAAGTTCCTCGTCATTATAATTCTCTTCCGATAGCGAAGAAAAGTGACAGAGGTTATTGAAAACGAAAAAATTTCGATTGACAAATTAGTCGGTGTTCTTGACACAGCAATTATAGGACTTGAACAGCGGAACTTTGTAACTGAACAAGAAATTATGTCTGTTTAATAGAATTAAAGAGAAAGTATTATCACATGAAACGAAGCAAAACTTAAACAACTTACATTGAAAGAAATGTTAAGTAAACAAATAAATATTAAGCTTTTTCTTTTTGCAAATTTTGATACGCTTTAGATCATAATTGTTCTTTATTTCATAAATTACGGTTTCATATTTTTAATTTTAGAATTTCTGCATGCCATCTTACGAGATTTAAACTGATGATCTGTAATCCGGAAAAATCGATAATCCGGAATCGCCGAAGTCCCGACGAGTCCGGATTAACGACTTTTGACCGTACTTTTCTCAAAATACCTTTTGTCATCTTCACCATTCTCTCCCAGTATCCACCCTACCAAGCTGCTCTTTCGACAATAAAATGCCATCTTATTCCCTTTGTACCAAAATAATTTTGTACAGATGGATCAACAATATTTGCATATAACTTCTTCAGTTCCTACATCTGCACCTTTAAAAGTTTTGGCCATTGTCAGAGTTTATAGTTCGGCAAACACCTCTTCTTGACACAAAGCGACGAAATGCTAGAAGGAAATGTTCGGTGCTTAGGCTAGAAACAATTTCAAGATGAACTGCACGTGTGACTGCACAAGTAAACAAACAAATATAAACCTTGTCTCCATTTTTCGTAAACAAAGGTCCAGCAAAATCAAAACCTGTGATTTCAAAGGGATTCGCTTCATGAATTCTATCCGCTGGTAATGGAGCAGTCACTTGAGTGCCCCTTTTAGCCTTAAATTTCCTGCAAACGAAACAGTTATTCAAGCACGATTTTACAGCTTGTCTGCCTCGGATGATCCAATACTTTTCTCGAGTTTGAGTGAGTGTATCTGAAACACCAGCATGAAGTAAGTTCTCATGTTCTCTTTTGATTAGCAATTCAGTAAATCTCGATTTTTTCGGTATAATCCATGGTTGCTTTTCTTGAAACTGAAATTCAGAATTTTGCAATCTACCACCAAGACATATGAGTCCTTCTGCCGTCAAGATCGGCTTTAGACCATATAATTTGGAATCGGAACTAAGTGTTTCCTTTCTAGTCAATTTAATAAGATCCTTTTCAAACTCACTTCGCTGTAAAAATCGAATCCAATAGCGTTCAGCACTTGCGAGTTCTTCAGCAGTTAGCACTTCTTTACACCTTTCAGAATTTCTCTTACAGTTATTAATAAGCCGTAGGACGTATGCTGTGATTCGAAGAACCTTAGATAAGTCACTGTTTCCGTGCAAATTCAACAAGCTATCGGTACGTTTAACGTATGTGGGTAAAGCAATACAGTTCTTTTTTCTCTCCTTTTCCGCTTCAAATGTATCAATATCAGCATTCGGTATTTCTTCACTGTTTAGAACATCACTTTCTATTAGCCACAAGGGGCCTCTCTACCATGTTTCATCATTAATTAAAGATCGTGCACTTACTCCCCTAGTAAGTTTATCTGCAGGATTCAACCTTCCGTTGCAAAAATTCCAATTCGATGGATTTGTCTTTTCTTTGATTTCCAACACTCTATTGCGAACAAATTGCTTCCAATCATTTGCAACACCTCTAATCCAATGTAGACATATTATGGAATCTGTCCACATGAAAATGTCACTTTCTTTCAGAGAAGAAAACGTGGATCGTATATAATCAGACAATCGTGCGGAAATCAAGTTTCCTAGTAGTTCTAATCGCGACTAAGTCATTTTCTTCAGTGGAGCTAGACGACATTTTGAAATTATAAAACTTGTCGCACATTTGTCATGGTATCTAATCTTGAAATACGCAACCGCACCATATGCCTTTGGGCTTGCATCAGAAAATATATGTACTTCCAGTTGCTGAATCTTCTGCTCGTCAAAATATAGTCGAGGTATGACAAACTTCTCAAGCTCGGATACTTCATTCCACCAGACCTGGAACATAGATTCCAATTCTTCTGGAATATTTTCATCCCATTTTAAGCGCTTTTCCCAAAGATTTTGCACTATCAATTTAATTATAACACTGAATGGTGTAATTAAACCTAATGGATCAAACAACATGCCACATGCACTTAGAACTGTACGTTTTGTTGGTGTCACATATTTAAATTTCGTAAATTGATTCAGATCTATCTTCAAGGTGTCCTTATCATTGTCCCAAATTAATCCTAATACCTTTAACGGTATATCTGTTTGATTCGATGGCGTCCGACATTCCATTTGGGTTTCCTTCCATCTTTGGTTTAGGATAGCTGAATTCAAAAGCCACTACCTTAAATTCATGTTTGTTTCACTCAGTATAAATTTACAGTCTCTTGCAAGCGATACTGCTTCCTCAACAGTTGATGCCCCACTTATTAAGTCATCAACATAAAGTTCTCTCAAAATAGAAAACTTCACTGTGTGAATTTGCATATTTCTTTAAATGAAGTCGTATAGTTGCTGTCAAAATAAAAGGACTGCATTTCACGCCAAAAGGAACACGTATCATTCGTAAAATTCTGATATCACGACCATTGAAATCAAGTTCGGTTCCCCCCTCATTTCTCCATAAAAACTGGAAAAACTTTCGATCCTCCTCTGCTATGCCAATCTCTAAAAATGCTCTCTGAATATCAGCAAAAAACGCAATTGGATGATAACGAAATCTTAAAATAATCCTGAGCAAATCTGGATTAAGGTTGGGACCACTATCTAAACAATCATTCAACGACTGCCCATCCCTAACTTTCGACGACGCATCATACACAATCTTAACTTTCGTACTTTCCTTTGATTCGCGTACTACAGCATGATGAGGCATAAAATAACCAATTTTCCTATCACAATCTCCATGAAATGCAACTTGCTCAATAATACCATCCCTTAACTGTTCATTAATTATTTCTTTATAACGAAAATACAGATGCAGATCATGTCTGAATTTATTATTTAGGCTTATCAAACGTCTTTCTGCAACTTCATAATTACTGTTCAATGTGTTACAACCCTCCTTCCATAATAATTTTGTTTCATACCTCCCATTTCTAAGGCGACTCATCACCTTAAACCTCTCATGATCTTCGAATATGTGACTGTTGCAGAAATTGGGATATTTTATTTATTTTAAAAGCAATTACTTCCAACTTTTTACAGCTAATTACATAATATAGCTGCTTTGGAAACTAGTAACCAGAAATTTGTGTTGCTACAAATATTTTTGCAATTTAATCCTCTTTGTGGTAAAATATTTCTCCATGTTTCTACCTTGCGCGCATTATATTTTAAAAATGGCGAATAGTACATACTTGAAATTTGATAAAATTCTTTATATGGGCACTATTTTCTAACTGAACCAACAATCTGATGAATATTTTAATATTGAAAAATTTTATGGACGAAAACATTACAAATTTTTTAATAAAATACATTTTATAAACTCAACTGGAAATAAAATAAAAATTTAACATGAAATTTTTAGAATTTTAGGTTCACAGTAGTTTCCAAATGTTATAAAAGCTATATATTAAATATGGAATTAAATTATGAAACAGAATGCTTTAAACTGTGCGCGCAAGTTGGAAACATGACGAAAAATGTTGTCACAAAGCGGATTAAATTATAAAAATATTTGTGGCAACACAAACTTTCTGATTACTATTTCAGAAAGCAGCTATATTATATAATCATCTGTAAAACGTTGGTAGTAATTGCTTTTAAAATAAATAAGTTATCCCAATTCTTGCAACAGTCATCTATTCGAACATCTTATCGGTTTTAAGGTGTATGAGTCCCCTTAAACGCGGTATTTCTTTCAAACATATCTATGACATCTGCATCTGATCGCGAAATTTCCTTTTCCTGATTTATTCCTATAGCCTCCAAATCCCATAAATTCCGAACTCTTTCAAAATCTGTTTTTACACAAGTATTATCATAATTTCCATGAATATCCGATCCCATTTCCTTACCTTGGATTACAAACCCAAATAAACTGTCCGTAATAACTAATCGTTTCCCTAATCTTATGTTTCTTTCATATAAAATTTCCAAAATGTAATCTGAGCCGATCAACATGTGTATCTCCTTCGTATTTCCAATGTCGGACAAATCTATTCCCTTACTTAGAGCCATATTCCTGACCCACTTTGAAGGAACTTCTATATGGTCATGCGTAATCGCATCAATTACCACTGCTTCTATGCGGAGTTTTTTACTTGGGTTGGTTCTATTCCGCAAATCAAGCTGAACTATATTATACTGTTGTTTAGGTTTACGCTCGCTACCAAACCCATATATTTCAAACGTTTCACATCTGGTAGCCTTCAAGTCCTAATGAGTCCGCAGTTTTCCTTCTGATAAATATTCTATTACTCCCGCCGTTTATCAACACCCTCAAGATTTCGCTCTTTTTATTTGTTTTTACTATAGCGCTGAATGTTTGGAGTAAAAATGGGGTCGACGCTTCGGCGCTCTCGGTTTTGTTTACAGATCCCTTTTACTTCCTCCGAAGCAATGCAATGACTGTACTGCAGATAAATTATTGCTCGTTTCCTTACTATTTGATTCGGCTGCATTATCTGTCGGTTCAACCTTATCGCATATAAAATAATTGTGAGGTTTTTTATATATTTTGCAAAGCTGGTCCTTTTTCCAGTAAAATTTTGAGGTATGTCTGCGTTTCAGACAAATCTAACATCGTCTTTGTGATTTTAACGAATTTCTTTTTTCTATTAATGATAAAGGACATTTATGTCTTTCGTGAGATTTATCCGATCAAAAACTACACATTTTGTTTTTGAAACGAATTCAGTAAGCTATAAACTGGTTTCAGAAGAAAGCTTTTATTAAATATTGGAATGCATTTATTAAATATTGGAATGCAACATTAGTTATGTGAATATTCTTTGAGGCCAAAGTTCTGTGTTTTCTTATAGGAAAAAAAGAAAAGAAACCGTTGGAAATAAAGTTATAACATTTTTACGTTTTCCCATCGCATCTAAGTTTCCTGTTACTGACACTTTCGTGCATATTTTGTGACAAGAAGCAAATAGAATATCGAATTTCAGTTCATCTAAATTGCTAAACATTGAACAGAAAAATTTTGCGCACAGTCTGGTTATGTCATTTTTCTAATACTGTTTGTAGCATTGAGACTACACCAGGAAAAATAAAATAAAACAAGTTTTTTTTTGGCCAAAAATGCGTTCCCGAAACGCTGAAAATATTTTAATGAAGACATTTAAATAATTCATGTATTGATTATGAAAGAAGAAAGGTTACTTCGAAATATACGAAAGGTTTAAAACAGGATACAAATAATATTTCATAAAAATAACACGAAATTCAATAAAATTGGGCATATTTTGGGTATAATTTTACATGTAATGGTAAGTCAATTAGTAGTTAATGAATCCTGATTTATTCACAAAAACTGATTATTCATATATTTATAATTTTACATTTGAACTGACTGAAACTGAATATTCATATATTAAAATTTATATTAAAATTTTACTCAGTTTGAATTTTTAAGTAAATAAACTGCATTAGAATTTATGATTATTTTTTTGTGACAAAGCGTACTAGGGTTATTTGCCTAAGAGCAAATGTGTCATAAAGAGTATTCTCGGTAAATTTGCTTTTATTCCCTTTACACACACGACAAAAATCACGAAAACAGTAATAAATCATCCCCTGCGCCCATATCTGAGCACGGCTTATATCACACTGTCCATCTGTCATATACGATTGGTAAGTGGACCTCCTGTATATGAGATGTGTGGCAAAACATAAGGTGAAGTTCAAACGTAGACAAAGCCCTCAAATAAATGAGAATTTAAGTTTGTTGATTTAGAGAATGTAATGCAAATATATCTTCAAGAGCCAAATTTATATTGAGCCCTGTGTAACAACATTCAATAAAATAGTGAGTGTCATGAAAAGGAATTTTCAAAGAAATGGTAGCGAAGCATAGAGTTGCATTACACTTTAGTTCGTTTTTCATTATACAGGTCTCTCAGGGTTTCGTTAAAAAGGTTTGAATTTGATAGGTTAGGTTAATGGATTTCGGCAAAGCAACTCGAGGAATATCTCCCGATGTGGAGGGATGCTTTTGTCGAGGACGTTTTAAAGAAGGCTGGCTCTGGCTTCTACCTATGGTATGCAGAGAGAAAAGTAGTCAATAGAAAACGTCCATGCACCAACCTGTTCGAGATCTGGGTCGAACTACAAGTGTTTAGCGAATTTGTCGCTCGATTCTGGTAAGCCATTCGAATTCAATAAAGAATTGAGAATCATTCGAATTAAATTGGAAAGTCTCCTTTTAAGGGCAAAGTGATCTACCTTCTGGCAATACAAACTGCTATATTTGTGCGCCGAGAACGCTGCTGTGCGTATACGCAGAGAACTAGCTGTCACTGAACTGGTTTAGATGCAAAATATGCGCTGCTAACTTCGTGTGTTGCTTTCGAAGAGCAAAATCATGAAGAACATAGCAAGATTTGTGTCCTCATAAATTTCTTCCTCAGTCTAACGTTATTCTGTGATGAATAATTAGGCTTCACTCATGAGCAGAAAAATGTGTATGGGGAACAGTTACTTCTTGTCTAATATTCGAAGTCTAATTTCCTAGGTATCATATCAATATATTTATGGTGTTTTTAAGGGTGGAATTTCACTTTTTCTTGTTAGTGAGTGAGAGCTTGCAAATACTTTTAAATCTATTTGGTATAGATTGTTTTGTATAGGTAGTAGTCTGGTGACTTCTAAAATGTATACGTTTCCCCTAAAAACAAAAATATTTGCACAAAATTGGAAGGAAAATTCTAACGTATCAAGCATTCATTTGTTTAAATTCGAAACCTCAAAATAGTTTTAGTTACTAGCATAAGTGATAAGTGATAAGTGACGGTGAACGTGGGCACTGTCCCTTTGCCGTAAAGATTAATCAGTACAGCACCACGTACACCCTTATCTAAAGAAGTTGGCTAGAGAGGAGCCTCACGAGAGCTCTACATTTACATGTATACTATGGTTTGTACTTGGCATTACTGGGTAATACATTAACAAATAAAACTGTACACAAATTCTATCTGTGTTTACATTGTTGGAAGTGGCTTTACATAAAGCTGCGTATTGGAACAGTATAATTGCTCCGGCAATTCTGCGAATGTGCTTGTGAGGGTTAACCTGCCGGGGCGTAAACATTTATACACTACAAGTGTTCAGAAGGCAGCTATAAATAAATTTCTGCAGTACACGTATGATTTATGCTATACATTACATTTTACTTATTTATAACATTGTAAATTATTATTCGGTACGATCTATAATTTGGTAATATATATACATTATGCGATACGACATCGGCATATTATCTATCAGTTAATGGGCAAAGAATGGTATCACACTTAACATTATATGACGTTACATTTGCAATGAATTCATTACGCATATTCCTCATTGATATGACGTTGTCATGAGTGACTTTGCTAGGTTACGTATTAGAACATTATGAAAGTTCCGGCAATTTTGCCAGTGAGCTTGGGAGGGCTTACTTGCAGGGGCTTGTACATATACACTACTGGTGTTCAAAGGGCGGCTACATCTAAATTGCTACAGTAAGCATATGATATATGCTATACATATGCATATTTGCATATTCTTGATTTTAACTATTATTATTCGGTGCGGTCTAGAATATTAATTAAATAGGGGTCTCGCCGCGGATGTTGAAAGGCTGTCCCATCTCGCCTTTCAACATCCCGGCCGAGCCCCCAAGTGTTACGAATTTGGTATTTAAAAAGCTAATGTTAGTTCAATTAGAAATTAAATGGTTTTATTTCTCGCGCAGTGCAGCGCGTGACGAATATTAAAAGAAAGCTAAGCCGGAAATTGAAAATACAAGAGCGCGTGCATTAAATAAATAAATATCTCTTTTTGATTTCGAGAAAGTACTGGAAAATTCTCTAGCGCGTGATTTTAAAATCTTATAAAAGGAGGAAAACATCTCAGTTTGTAGTAGTTGCTTAGTTTGTTGTTGTTTAGAAAACTACTGTT